GTGCTTTATAATTTGAAATGATCTATTTGTTCCTTTAAATACCAATGGGCTTGCTCAATGAAGTGGGAATTTAACTGTATCCATTAAAAGATTGAAGACCATAAATAAAGAAGTAGCAATTAATTGTGTTGCCTATTTTTAAGAGGTTGGAGCTTAGTTTTTCACACTCTGGCAGTCTATCAAACTCAGCTCCATTACAGATGTCTTGGAGCTGAATTGATGATGATATTCAAAACTAAGGGCATTCTCTGCAGTAGTCCTACCCTGATGAAGGAGCTCAAACATATAGATGGCTTATGTGATTCTATCATTCTTACAGTGTGAATTACAAATGTTAGAAATGTCAGCTTAATGAGTCATGCAAGAGTCTTCAATGTTCTAAGTCACTGGATCCAATTAATTTTTAAGTGTGCCTAAAATGAACAATGAAGACTGAGAAGAAGAAGCAATCCAGTAGTTTCTCCATGCTCACTTTTTTACTTCTATTTTATATGTCGGACCGAATAATGCTTCCAAATAGCAAGTCAATTATTCAAGCAAGTCAAATTCAAGTCAATTATTAACAACGACTGAAATTTCTGAGGAGCTGATAGTGTGTTCTCTTCAGTCTTTAAACGTGCAATGAAATTATTCTAGCTTGTATGAACAAAAAGGTGGTAATTTTTTCTTTTCTTTACCCCTGTTACTAGTAAAACTAGTCACAGCAGTGACATGACAAACAAAGGGATTTTTTTTTAATATCTCCATTCTGTTTGCTTCATTGTACTTGAAAACTGCTTTGTTTTTGTACTGTACTTGGCATGATATAACACAGTGAATTTTATGTCCAGTGAATTGTGATTCTGTTGAGCACTATGGGCCAGTGCCATTGGCTGGGCTTACAACCGTGAAGCTGAAGAGCCACGCACTGTTACAGGCAGGTTTTTCTTGATTTTTACATAAATAATTTTAACCATAACCCAGACATTGGGGCCATTAAATTCTAGATTATGACTAGTGTGCATCTTGCTAACAAATGTGCATTTGCCCAGGCAAGAATCACCAGTGGCTTTTCTCCTAAAGGCCCCTAAAGGCCCCATGCCCTATGCCCTAGAAACATTTTTTGGAGCAAGGAAGAATGAAGCTCTTAAAATTTTATGTCTGAATGGAAGATTCAGCTTGACTGAGGGGACTTTTAGCAAAAGCCATGAGTGGTTTATGAGACTCCATTGATCTTGAGTGATGCTGCTGGTGCAAACATTCCATTACAATATCAGAGAAGTGTCTCAGATGGCATCTCTAGGGCCGATTTTAAAACTCTTGCAAATAATAGGCATTTAAAGGCAAGATTTGGGTTTGGATCTGCCTGTCCTAATAAGAAACCCTTACCTTTTGTTGTGGTGCAGGCAGTTCTAGGACTATAACCTGAAAATAGAAACTGTCAAAACATGAATATAGAAAGAGATACCAAAAAAAAAAAAAAAAAAAGCTATATGCTGCCAGAAAGCGTCAAGAAAATTCCCTGCTTGGAATACAAAACTTGTCTGTGTGGTTGTGTTTTAAGAGCCACGGGACCAAAACTTCAGCTTTGCTTAAAATAAGGAAGGAATGAATGAATGAATGAAAGAAAGAGGAGAACAGCACAAGTATACAAGTGAAACTGCAAAAAAAATGCATGGCTTATTTATGCCACCTACTGGATTTTTCCTGAAATATCTGTTCAAGGGGTTTAGTTGTCACGATTGTGTCTGCCGCTCCAGCAAATACTTACCTAATACCAGCTAATATCAGGATGGGGACTCACATAAGTAAATGATGTGTGGACTATCGTAGCCCCAGGACTGGAGATGGGGGCAGCTGTACACTTGCTTATTCTGCTAACTTGATGGCAGCAGGACAGCCGAGACACCCAAAGCTGCAGGCAAGAACTGAAGTCCAGCACTGAGGAGCTTCCCAGCCTCTGTCAGTGCCTCAGGAGGAACGTGCTGGCACCATTTCCCTCCTTTGCTGGACTCCCTTCGGCTGTCTTTGATAATTTGTTCTCAAGGCTCAGTGTTTATGAACATGTTGATATTTTCACAGAATCGTAAAATGGTTTGGGTTGGAAGGGACCTTAAAGATCATCTAGTTCCAACCCCCTGCCACGGGCAGGGACATGTTGTTTTCGAACAGCGGGCAGGCAGTCTGAATGCTTTACCCTCTGTCCCTCACCGCTCCTGCAGCTGAGGCTCTGCTGGGAATCCACAACCAGCCCCGGTGATATGGTCTGCTGATATGGTAAAATGACCTGGGAGAGTCAAAAAGATCTGCTGTGACAGAGGGGTAAAAACCTTCTGGCTTGACTCACTGACAGCAAAAAAAAAAAATTAAACAGAATCAGATCTAGCAGCTCTCTAAGGTGGACTTACTAAATACACTCGGCCCTGCTGACTTCTGTGAAACTAAAGGTCCTCACTTTCCAGTCAATGGTGTCAGAATGAAGTCCTCTTTAAAATTCGTGATCGCCCTACTGAGATGCTCAGTCATGCCTGAATGTGGTGGTGGGGACATGGCTTCTTCACATATGACCCTTAAAATTACGATCTTGTTAGCAAACAAAACATTTTTGCAAGGTTTAAGACATCAGCCAAAAGCATGCACTGGCAAAGGACCGATTGTCACTAACAGGTCACATTTTGTACTTTAAAGACTTATGCAAAAAAAGTTAAAGCTAAAGGACAACTATCACCTCCCTAGGGAAAAAAACAAAAAGTCATTTGAGTCTTCTTACATGGTTTGGTTTTTTTCACCTGAAACATTAATTATAATTATTTTATTTCCAAAGGAGCTGGCAAACTGCAGTAATGTTTAGTCACTGACATCATCACTGGATTCACATCAGAGACACCCGGACTTCCATTAAATGAATGCCTATGATTTCCTGAAGGCTTGCAGTGAGATTGCTCTGATTCGTGTTAGAACTGCCGGCAGTTTGTAACCACCTCCTATTCCTTTGTGACTCCAACAGGTGTCAGATACCATAATGTGTTGTCATCCTCAACAAACACCCGTTAAACAAATTTGGGGCAAACATTGCACACTACAACCATACTCAAAGTGCTCCTTGAGCTAGCAAAAACAAAGCAGTTCATTGTCAAAGGATCGACTACGTGCTTGTGTCCACCAAGCATCTAGGCATTTTGGTGGTATTCATCCAGAACTCAAAATACTACGTAGGTACCACAACATTAATGTTTTGTTCCTCACCAGTTGGTTCTGGAGCATTACAGATCTGTGCAGGTAGCCTTAAAACCTTTTTCACTCCTAGTTTTTCTCTTCCTCCTTCTCCTGTCATTTCTGATGTGCTTTTTCTTCTCCTACCTTTTCATGCTTCGGTTTATTGGCTTTTATTTTATTTTGCCTTTCTTTGCTTTTGATTTAGCCTCCTTTCATCTCCTTTTTAACTTGCATTTTCAACTGACTTCAAGACAATTTGCATTCAAGCACTCGAAAATTTCCTCTGTGGTGTGCTCAACCACACGCAGAACTTCACGAACTGGAGTTTCACTGTCAAGACTCACTCCTAGACAGCAGCTTCGAAGCCTGATCAATGCCGTTATGGGTTGAGAAGACCTCAAGTGATTTCGTTCAGGAAGGAATTTCACATGCCAGTATAGGAAGCTAAGCATGCCCGTCTGCGTAATTCACCTTCTTAATTATTAGTGATCTACACCACTAGGTGTATAGGCAAATCACATTTTTGTTCCACTAAACATTGTATTCATCTTCTCCTCCTTTGCAGGAAAAAAGTGCAATTACTGACATCAGAAATGCCAATCCCAGCAAGGGGAAAAGTTCCAGTTTCTTTGAGTTGACTGTTTGTCACACCCCCGCACCAAGCCTGGGCTGGTGCCTCCCTTGAGGACCACCTGACTGCTCGAGGTGGGGGCTTAACAGGAGTGTTTTAATGTGGTCTCTCTACGGAGGATGGAAAGTGACATAAAAGTCTCCCGCGTTGTATTATGAAGGAAAAGGTTCTTTAAATGTAATTTAGTGAATGCTAATGGAAAGCACTGAGCAGCAAGGATCTGGGGCTTTCTTCAGGCCGGGAAAGGCACTGGCTGTCTCCACCAGGGAGGCTCAGTCTGAGCGGAATTAGCTGGGAGATAGCTGATCTCGAGGAGAGAGAAGCTTTCCTTGGCTTCTTCTAGCAGAAATAAATTTCTACCTACTGTAACTTATTACCTTCTGATATGCTGAGTCATGAAGCTGGGGTTATAGAAATCTTGATGCAATCTTTATAAATCAGCCTCCCATAATCTCAGGCGCTTTCTGCTTCATCTCTGTTGAGTCACTCATTTGACAGTTGTCATTCCTCTTAGATTGAGGTGTAATTTAATAGTTTCATTTCAGCGTGAAGATAGCGTCATCTAAAGTTGAGCCCGGAAAGATTGAAAGGTGTAACAGAGGGAATATTAATACTGTAAATAATATCTGCAGAGCAGCACGGGGCTATAAACCACGGGGTGTCAAGCTGGAAAGGGGAGCCTATGTCAAAAAGAAGAGGAAAAAGCATCTTCCCCTGCCTTCTTCCGCAGAGGAGCGTACCCGCTGTAGCCACCCACGCCTGCCCCGGAGGTGCTGGTTACCCGCTTGTCACCTCACGCCCCTATTTGTGGGGACCACCTGTCCCCACCGATTCGAAGTTGAGCCCGGAAAGATTTAAAGGTGTAACAGAGGAAATATTAATACTGTAAATAATATCTGTAGAGCAGCACGGGGCTATAAATCACGGGGTGCCAAGCTGGAAAGGGGAGCCTATGTAAAAAAGAAGAGGAAAAACCATCTTCCCCTGCCTTCCTCCGCAGAGGAGCGTACCCGCTGCAGCCACCCATGCCTGCCCCACAGGTGCTGCTTACCCGCTTGTCCCCTTGTGATAAATGAACACATTTCACACCCCTCATGCCCCAATTTGTGGGGACCACCTGTCCCCACCGGCACCGACCAGAGCCTGGTGGTACCTTCTCAGGGACGTGAGCGCCATGTCACCCGCCAACAGGCGCCCTCCAGCCCGCGGCCACAGGCCTCACCGCGATGGGCAGCCCAGCTGCGGCCGCTCGCGTGTTTTATTCACGGTCGGTGGGGCTGCCCAAACCCGGCCGGGCCCACCACGGGGGGGAACACGGCGCCTGCTCACGGCCTCACCGCGGCCGGCCGGCC